TGATCTGCTTTTTCTTGGAAGTGTGGTTTCCTCCTTTTCAGGAGGAAAAATATGAAACAAAAATGTTTTGGTTCTTTGAAAATACATGCTTTATATGCCACAGCTATCTATCAGTTCCTACCCTTAGAGCCAGTAGTGGGAGGGGTTAGTCTTAAGACAGTATTTTCCTTCTCTCTTTTCTGTCCATCTGACTCGCAAGCTTCTGACTCCTTTTTACACCACAGAGATGAGCTTACAAAGCCGTTGTGATGCCTTTTGTCACTATGAATCTGGCAAAACTTCTTCCAAGAACAGGATATTGTGCAGTACGGTATCTTTGCTCCTTGCTGTGGGGCTTATACTGGAAGATCTGGGCTTTGGGGCTGATTTTGTGTCCAAAGACTAACACCCCCATTAGCAGCAGCGAAGCAGGATTGGGTATGTAGTCCACGGAAAATGATTTGAGTATATAAAGAAAGGTGGGCATACTGCTTTTTATATGGGACAGTATTTGTGTCTAGTAATTTTTTTAGATGAGAACTGATCTGTCAAATCATATATTTAATGAAATTCAAAGTGAATGAAACTTTGAATGAAATAAAATGAAACTTGAAAAGGAACAAAACCAAAAAGGTGGAGAGAAAGACAAAGATGTACCAAATATGCACAGAGGAAAAAAGAATCCCATTTTGATTGTAAAAAGGATTATGTACTATGGTGGTTATTTGCACACACAGAAATAAATACGAAGGCTTATGTTCTGTTTAGCTGTTTAGGGCAACAGAGCTAATCCATGAATAATGATCCAGCATATCAAACTAGTGGGTTCTCCTAACATCTATCATTGAACCCTACCCAAGATATTTGGAAGCAGAACATCAAAAATGAATGTCATCTGACAGCAGCCAGATCACTACCAGAGTTAAAATAGCCCTGGACATGTAGTTCATGATGTGTGATATACAAGTGGTACATATCTGTTTACTGTGGGTGTTGTAGTGGTGAGGTTGTTTGAACTAACAACCATGCATCACATGCTTCAGCACTCAGCTCTTGGGTCACAGATAAAAGAATCTACATTAGAAAGATATTTAACTTATATTTATGACCAACTTTATGAGATATGCAAGATTTAGATACTCAGTTTGTTGGTTATTGTCTGAATATCATAGCAGGCATAACAAAAGCATATCACTTGAGTGAGGTCACTTACCCCTTTTCTTCTTTGGAGTAATCATATGGTAGGTTGAGGTATGTATTATATTTTGCATTTGAAAACAATGCATTTACATTTGTACATTATGCCACAATAATTCAACAGGTTTCTTCTACAGACAAAAGCATGTTTTGTCTGAGTTTTGTAGAATAAAAAAAGATAGCTTTTAAGTCTCTGATACTGTTCTTTCTACTGAGTTACCTTAGTGGTAGTCACTGTAAGTTAGTAAGCCACTTACAGAGGGTTGCAGCAGGAGGCCTCAGAGTTGCAGAAATAATAGAATATGATATATTGAAATGGAAATGAAGACAACAATCTTATAGACTGGAAAAATCACTTGATAACAAAAGACTGGTTTCATTTTTGTTATTATCTCAGATTCATTTTATCTAATCACATCTGATTCTTTTAGTTATTTGTTGTCTTTCATCTGTTCCCTATAATTTCAGTGCTATTTATCAGTGGCCCACATCTGATGTAATTTCACACATCTAACTTCTGTTTGCCTTTTTGCATCTTTCTTTGTCAAGTATAATCTAATCTTCTAATAATGACTTTGAAAGTATATTAATCTGTCTAGCCTTTATCAATTTTCTCATCTTACCTAATTTGTACATTTTAATGAAAAACTTTTTAGAATTTATTTTATAAGAATGACTAGGAGTTCCAGGCATGAAATAAGACTCCATTGCTGAACAAACTGTACTTATGTTAACAAAATTATCTCTCTTTAATTTTTAGTTATTTCCATGTCATATATGGTGCGCAGAATAAAAGGCAAATGATGGTTTAAATTCTAACTCACATTCAGAGGTCAGAAAGCCCTGCTGTTTGATTTTAACTTGCATTAAGCAGCACATCACCAAAAAACAGTTTCTGCAATTGAATGTTTTAAGAGTTTGGCATTGCTGACTTTTTAATACTCATTCTTGCAGAACTGCTATACTTGTGCAACACTGAGAGGAGGGAAAAACAACAAAACTGAATTTACAAGTAAATCAAGTAGTTGTAACTTGGATTTACAGGGCGAGCAGAGCTGTTTAGCAAGTAGCGTATGCTATTTTGCAAATAACAGCTTTACTATAAAGTGAGAAGAAAACCAATCATTATAAAAATATTCAGTTTATTCTTTGTTTCTTTGCATTACTGTTGCTTGAAACATCTGTAATGATGAACGAGGACTCCTTTCTGGGAGATTATGTATAAGCAAAGGACCAAAATGCCATTCTTTCTTCAAAGTGCTTTCAATCTCCTTTCAGGTTTTCTGCTTTCTATCCTTTATTTCTATCCATGTTTTTAGCATATTTTAGGATATTCTGATGTGTAATGCATTAATGGAAAGAGAATTAAAAATATTTTTCTGACTTGCTATCTAGTTTCATGTATCAAGCCCATGCCCTGAATGACAGCAAGGCTTTGCAGATTAATGAATCTAGAGGCAAAGCTGAGGAAGATAAAGATTTTTTTTTTTTCCCTTCCCAAACCAGTTTTTGATTGACTTTGTGAACTAAGTAACACACGGTTCTGCCCTGTACCCCACAAGTTACAAAAAAAAATAAACCAACTTTGTTTTTAAATGCAAAAAAGTTGCCAGAAAATTGTGAGATCCTTTCGTATTAGCAAGATTTGATTTTTATGCATTTCAACACTGAAGTCTGCCACTTTCTATTCCATTAGTTAACCTAGTAGGTGCTACCTTCAGAGGCAGCTTTATATCTGCTTTACATCCACAGACATGGCAAAGTCAGGGAAAATATTTTTTGGTATTCTGTATTAGTAAACCCATAATAAGTTACTAGGGTCAGGAGAAGAGCATTTTTCAAATCTTCTATAAATAATAGTGACAAAAAATTCATAGAAATTCTATTGTAATGGAAAAGTATTTTTACCTAAATATACAGAATTCTGTTTGTAATGGACTCCAAAGTCCTCTGTCCTTTATCTGTGCAGATACTTCTGCATATTCCCCAAATGAAAGCAACAACTTCTGTGATGGCATACAGTAACTATAGAAGAAAATTACATCCACTATAGTTAAACTAATAAAATGCTCTTTTTCTGAAATGCTATGGGACTTTTTTTCTCTTTCAGAAATGAAATCTTGGACATGTTTCTGATTTCCTCCCTTTCCCTTCTACTCTAAACAGTTCCTCAAATTCAGTGTCTCATATATTAAAACATATAACTAGCATAAAAGCTCAAGTAAATACTGAAGCTGTGGATTCCATGTTTGCAATAAGATTATGCAGAAACATCTTGTATGTTGTGTGTTATTCCACTGTTGAAAGTTGCTCTGTGTTGCAGATTTCAAAACTGCATTTAAAAAAACCCAAACTTACCCCTCTCTAGTTAGTCCAAGTAAGCTCTTTTAATGTATATTTTATTGGCTGAGACAGAATCAGTGTAATCTTTTCTAATCTTTTTCTGGTTCATTGCAAGGTGCATCAAAACCAAAGAAAGCCTTTCCACTTAACTTCAGCTGAAGTTGGATCTAGTGGCTAGCTCTGACTTTTTTTTGTGCTGGTCACATGTAATGAGATTTTCATCTTAATATGTTTAACTTAAGAGAATGTTTTGCAGTAATTAGTATGACTTGAACTTCTACATGGATGATAAGTAAATAATCTGTTTTGTTTTCTGTTGAGAAATTTTGGGAAGTCAACACAGTGCTTGTGTAGGAGGAAGATATATGTAATGTATATGTGAAGTCCTAAGTGTGTCTGAAAAGCCACCACTTTGTAAGAAAGCATAGGAAACAGAGAGTTACCACAGGTCACAAGTCTGTGTATTTAAGTGAAGAAAATTACTGTCAGGTGTCAATATAAAATGGAATTTTACTGCTTTGGAATTGAGCAGTGTTACTGCTCAGCTCCAATAAGTATACAATGTTTTTCCACTTCAAAGTCCAAAAGACACATTTATTTATCAAAAAGAATGGATCATGATGATGAATTCTACTTCTTACCAAGATCACAGAAATAAAAGGGATCTCTTTAGCAGAGTGGTGGTCAGTAGCACAGACCAAACTGACTTCACTGCCTACCTTGATGTTGCCATACAGGAGCAGCCTTGCTACCACCTGGAGATGGAAGTGCCAGTGTCCTCCAGATCACCTTGAATGACATAGATAGTATAGTTGCGGAGAAACCTGGCCTGCAAGCATGTTTTGGAACACACTTACTCTTAAGAGTAAATGAGCACTGGTACTCTATGCCCAGCTGCTCTGATGTGCCCCAGCTGCCATTGTACTGCCATGGTACAAACAATGTGAAACATGTGAGATGGCAAAAGGCTTTTCTAGAAAGACCCTGATGTCACAAGTGGGATTTGTAGGCAGTCTGAAGTCAATTTATACTCTATGTTGGTTTTATGGAGTTGAGTCAGAAGCACACCCGGCTTCAGTCTGCTTGCAGCACCTACTTTTTGAAGCAAATATAGGCATAATTTACATCCATTAATCCTGTTACTCCAACTTGATTTCATCTTCCTCTGAATATCAAATTTTCTTGCTTTTTGCTGTTAAGTTCAGGACTGCTTCAATAGTGCTAATCTTCACCATGCCTGCTACAGTTGTTGCAAAGCATGCCAAGTCAAGTTAGTTAGCCTTTACTAAGATAAACGAAGGTTTTGCAACTTAGACGTTTTGAACACCTTCAAGTCTGAGCGCCTTTGCCTCTGTTCTGGATTTTAAAACCACTTGTTAAGCTTTTGTGATGAAGTGATTTCTCTGCCATTCTTCCTATATTTTGTGAAGTTTCTTTTTCTTGTAAAGATTTTTCATTCTAAAATTTTCTCTTTTCTTTAGGGAACAGCAATATTACAGTCTGGAGTCTTACCAGCTATACCAGGTAGGAGCCATTTAGTTATTTGCTTTGTTAAAGAATAATGTTTAAGTCTCAAATTGTGATGAGAGAAACAGAAGATTTATGGAAGCAGAACTAAAGACTATATTGAGAGGTATCTTGTTTGTGGTTGGTTTTGCTGCTGCAATTCATGACTGACAATTATGAGATACATCGTGATCTGTAGTATCTTTGGTTGAAAAGATTGATGTATTTGTTTTTCCCTTCCTTTTGTAATCTAAAGAGGTTCAAAGCTGTCAGTTTCTATATGAAGTTGTTTAGTGCTTTTTCTACTTACATAGTGGAACAATGTCAAGAAGGTGTTCTTTTTAGGCTATATTAACACCAAGGGGAAACTTGATTTATATGTTCAGTGTGTATACCCAGTTTTCTAAATAACACAAAACCACAGGAATGGATCCCTACCAGAAGCAACATGGAGATGCTGCTCTCATGTCAGAGGAACTACTGATCGACCAACAAAATCAGTAAAGGGAGGAAGCTGAGTATCTGACCTGGAAAGATTATTTAGGCAAAAGTAACACGCTGGCTATCTTTGTATTGTAAATCTGCCTATCTGTAGAATGTGTTGGTCATCTGGAGTTCTATGTCTAATGTGGCCAGTCTGGTCTGGCACCTTTTGTATCATCATTTTACTTCAAAGATAACATTTCATAAGCATCTGTGCAAAGAAGTTGTTTAGTATCCTAAAATGTCTTTATATTCCTTAAATTGTTTACCTGATAATTCAGCAGATCCATTAAATTTCTCAAGTTGCCTGCTTCCAGTCGACATAGAACAGCTCTTTGTGCTTGGGTTTCTTTATTACTTTTTAAAACCTTGGCAAATATGTAAAGGAGTATAGCTGTTTGATACTTGTATGAACAAATCCAGTAAGATACCTAGGATCAGGAGGTGTCTCTGGAGAAGGTTATAAGTAACTCTATTCCTTTGTCTGTCTTAGCAGGGGAAAATTCAGAAGCATTTAGCAGATCTTGTTCCTAGTTATTCCACTCAAGTCAGTGGAATTACTCTTGATTTATAGAGGTGTAAGTAGAAGCACACACTGGATCATTAACTAATTTTATCTTTCCTTCTGATACTCAGGTTTCTAGTCCTCTAATCAACTCAAGAAAACCAGAGCACTTATGATTAAAGTGTGTGAAAATAAAGGGGAACTTGGGTCTATAAATGTGTGTGGTGGGCACAATATTATTTCTGCATTAATTTCAGTGGCAAATTAATTGTGGATGCAAACAGTATCTGACAAAAACTTAATCTCAGACTATTCATGCAGATCAAGGAGTTAGTGGTTTTGATGAAACCTATCATTAAGCAAATTGGAAATGTAGAAATAAAGGACAGATTTTTTTAGACCAACAGAAAGGGAAGATACAAGACTGAAGAAATTTGAGTGGGTGGATTTTCATGTCTGGTACACTGGGAAAATATTGTTTAAGAAAAGAACTGAATACTTGTTGGAATAAGTATAAATGCTTTAGGCAAATGCAGCATCTAAAGCCAGTGACTAAAGTTTTTAGCTATCTTTGTGGGTTTTCAGCTCTCAAATGCTCTTGTACACCTGTAGAACTTTATTCTTTAATACTACACTATTTTTCAGAATACAAAAGAAACCCCTGTTTTCTCTGTCTCGTCGTATTTTTATTATCCTCAGATATTACATTTTAAAATATTGTCTTTTATATATGTGAACATTTCCGGTATAATTGAACTTGGCATTGCAAAGCTGTTGAAATAATACTGTAGCCTTTGAGTGTTTTGCTTCCACCACCTTTAATCCAAGCCATTAACTGAAGGTCCCTGGGTGCTGAGCAGTCATTCAAACAGTTCTGTTGGACTAAAGGAACAGCATTAGAACTTTTTTATGTTTCTATATTATGATCTTTTAATCCATTGTTGAGGGCAACATAAGGGCACACTTAGTTTGAAGTAACTTATTTCAAAACCTGTCGTGTGCATGTACATGGCAAGATATCTCTACTAACATGAATGATTGTGCAATGACCCAGTACACAGTTATAATGTTTGCTAGTGTAGCAGTCCACTTAGTCATAAACACATTTCCTTTCCATCACAGATGGGACTGTATTGTATTTTCACCAAATACACTGTATGAATGCAAATCCACTTCTTCCAGTGCTACAGGTGACCACATGTTCTGTACAATATTTTTGATCTTGAATGCTTCAGTTCTGTAGCAAGAAGTGGAGTTACAGAGCCAGGATCAATTGTTTAAATATTTTTCAGTTTATTGGTAGTGAATGTGCGTGGTGGTATTCTCTTTCTACTGTTAGTTATATATGCGGAGCAATAGACTCAACAACTTCAGAGAAATGTGTCTGATTCTAATGGCAAGCTGAAAACACAATTCCGATTTGTGTTACTAGATGCAAAAAAACAAGTTAGAGTGAATCATTTAATTCTGGTTTAAATAATTTGGTTGCCTTTGTTATAAATAACTTCATAAAGATTGATTAGAAAGAGAGACTGAATTAGATTGCGTGCGTTTGTAGGAGGAAAGTGTTCCCATTGTTATTATAGTTTTGTACTACAGATTAAAGTAAGGGATTCTTTGGAGTTGTATGATGTGGGAATGCCTGCTCTTAAGTATAATAGACTACATTTATGGTTATTATGGGCCTTTAAATACCATGACAGGACAGAGGTATAATAGACTACATTTATGGTTATTATGCCTTTAAATACCATGACAAGACAGAGGTTCAAAAATGTGATTCAGATTTCCTGATTTCTGAGACTGCTGAATTCTGGAGCCACCTAGGTTTAGTACATTTAGTTTAAGAAGTTCTCATGGGACAGAGACTATACAGAGTTTCACATGAATGCTTTAGAAATTCTGTAGCATGATCTAGTGGATGCAATTTCAGAGATATGTATGTAGGTCCTTTTCTCAGGAGCTGCTTATGTGTTTTGAATTAAGGGATCATAAATGAGATGCACATTCAGTGTTGAGAGGTGAAACCAAAAGACAGTACATTCCTTCACAGAATGCTGAGCTGATGAGCTTGTCATTATCTTGATTATCTTTTTGGTACTATAAATCAAAGTACTGTAGGAAAAACAGGGCTGAAGGGGTTGTCTAGCTGCAGCCTCTGCCCTGAGGTTACGGTGTACTTCTGTGTGTATGTCTGGCAGGCGTTTGTTTAGCATGTTCTGCAATGGGAATCCTTAATCCACCTTAAATCATCCAAAGTTCCTTGCTATTCTTACATTTAGCATGTATTTCCTAACAGTTGTGGTGTTTCTCACTATGATTTAGGCTTGTTATTTGAATCTTGTTCTTCTTTCTAGTTCATCACAACAGCTTATATAGGAATCCCGGCTCTTACTTATAATGTCTTTATGCTCTCCTTCAAAATATTTGGATTTTCTCAGTTGAGTAGAACTCCATCACAGCTCTACTGTTCTACGAATGATGTTTAAACCATGAAGTTGTTTTGTGGGAGGGAAAAATGCCACTATTTCTGTCCTTGGTTGCCAGCCCTTCCAAGTGAACTGAGCGGTCTGAATCCCAAGACTCCTATTTAAAGAAGCTAAGTTGAGAGCTGGAATGGATTTGCAGAAGTGCTTAGGGACCCTTTGCAATCCCTGGAGAAGGCATTTCAGGCAGGCTGTATGAAACATATTTCAGTCCCTTCCCATTAGCTACAGGGAAGCTGATTCCCTAGGCATTCCCAGGAGCGAAACCCAACCTTGGGCATTTCAACATTCCAATTAAACTTCTATAGTGGGAGGTCTGATCTCCCTGTACTTCTGTGTCGCAGGCTTTGTCATTACAAAAATCAACAGTTGAATGGGAAAAGAATTTAACAAATATCCTCCCATGGAAGCAGCATACTTTAATATTGTTAAGTTTCATGGCTCTTAAATTCTCTTTTCTTTTTTTTTTTTTTTTTTGTTTGTGCAGTTCCATTTTTTCCATATTCCACAGGAGCAAATTCATCAACATTGCAACAGACACTATCTGACAGCCTCTTTGCATGAAATACCAAACTGACACAATGCTTGATGGGAAGTGTTCTGAGAGGATGAATTAAGGAATAAACATAAAACAATGCTGTGGATTGGAATTCAGCTGAAATGTCATTGAACATTGTATCTATATTAAATTGTTCTTAGGTAGATAGGGAGTCAAGGTAGGGAGATAAAAAGAAAAAATAAAATTAAGTATCTAACAGGTGATGGGTGCTGAAAATTAACTCAGCTGTCTGACAGCTTAGATTTTTTGATCGAAAAATAGGCTTTCTTTCATGCATTTTTACAATTTTTATTGCAAACCTATGCAGCCTCATTCTTCTAATCCAAGCTTAGGAGTAAGCTTTCAAGGAATTAATTGAGAGCAGTGAGAAAGAAGAATCTAGGCCATACCGTGTTGGTTGTTGCTTAAGTTGAAAATAATTTATAATTCACAATTTTTTTTTCAGGGAATGTGTTGTCAGCTCTTCAGATGTAGGGAGACAAAGTACACTATGATACTTCTTTTGAGCCAGTAAAGGACTGTGTGCTGAACGGTGTCCACCATAAATGTCATACCTCATTGGGCTAAGCACTGTTATAGAAAACCATTATTATAATGAGAAACTGATTAATAAGCCCCTGCCATAATATGACGTGCTCGCTCTTGATTGTACTTTATTTTATAAGTGCACTCAAAATAATTCTGTTGGGGAATAAAAATAGGAGCTCAGAACAAGTAAGCTGATTAAAATGTGTATTGCATTTACAAGCTAAACCTCGGCCTTCTGAATTACTAGGAGCCTGACAGGAGAGGGAAAAAAAGTCACTACAGTGAAACCATACACTAGTGAATGATCCAAATGCTGCTGCTTCATCCTCTGGCCTGAGTAGATCCAGCAGATTCCTGTTCCTTGTTTTGGGGGTGACAGAAGGTGCTAAGTCCATGCCACAGTGAGCCTCTCATCCTGTCTTCTGTATTCCTGATGTTCTTCCCCATGTCTTCTCTGACACTGAAATCTAGGGAAATTACATATCTCAGCCTTATAGAACACAAAGGTGAGGAACCTTATTTGCAAACATAATGATTAATTCAGCAGTTTGGGGTTTTTTTTTTTCCTATTACGGAAAAAGATTATGTGACCTTCATTCTTGGGCAATGTAGATCCTGAGCTTTAGATGCATCAAGATTTCTGGAGTTAAATGTATGTAAAGCATCTTTGAAGTTATATTTTTCAAAAAAAATTACACTGAGTTTCCTGGTACAAGAAAATGGTAATGATTCTAGCTTAACACTTTTGCATTTTTAAGGCTGGGAGGCTGGGCTGGAGTGGCCCTACGGCATGGGAACATGACTAATAGCTGGAGGTAGTTAGATCCTCTGTGATTCTTTTGGACACACTAAACAGGCATTTTTGTGGAGCAATATTTGAACAGTCAGTGTGCTTGAATGCATTTCTAATTTTGAGTGCTTCTACTACTTCTGAAGTTGACTGTTAGAGAGACAGGAGGCATTTCTGAATATGGTGAAATCTGTAGAGCAAGTAAGCATTTTTAAGCATCCCTTTCAGCTTTTATGTATTGCAGATAATGCCATTTGTATAGGAGAAAATATATGAAATCACTTTGAAAATAGAAGAGTAACAAACTTAGGGAAGTTTTATAGGGCAATTATACAGCACTGGGAAGTCTTATTACATTTACGTGAAAAAACCTCCTGGTGTACTTGAGTTATTTCTCCTGTCAATCAGTACCTCTAGCCTTGGATGCTCTTTTAAGCAAGGTATCTGTTTCCAAGGAGGAGATGGAAATGTTGCTTGGCTGAGTGGATCAAAGTACTTCATAATAAAGGTAGTTTTAATTCAACAAGAAGCAAGATTTTGTCATAGAGCATAGTGTTTTCTTCTGTCCTGACTCCTTGTCAGCAAATTTAATAGCCTGGACCTACAGAGTTTGTGACCTACTTGGTGAAGGCAAAGTAGAGGCTGGGCAGTAAGAAGTTATCACTTGGTAAATGCAGTGTAGTGTTGCATGTGTCTACTCACTGGCCATGTAATGATAGGGACAGGATTTAAAACTGTAAACTGTCTGGGCTCAGTTCATAGCATGTATTTCATCTTCCCTCTCATTTGTTAATTTTTTTTCATGGCTCTTGTAGCACGTGTGCTGTAAACTGTGCTTATTTTTGAAGAGTGGGCATAAAAAAATGACTATGAATTTAGAAAAATGTTTCAAATAGTGGCTGTCTTCACTGAGCTACATCAGACATTTTGAGTCTAATCATATGTAGGAATGCAAAATATTCTGCAGATTATTTTCATTTTGTTACATTTTTTGATAACTTCTTCCTCTTACACATTGAGGAAAATAGAACAGAAATAGCTGTCTTGATGAGCTACTTGGTTTTAACAAAGACTTGAGTGAGTCAGCCACACAGAACTGGATGGCAGGGGAAACTGGAAAAATTACTCTTAACAATCCCTTGTAAGAGGAAAAGTATGGTGGAAGGGAGTGTCTGTCTCCTGCTGGATGCTTTATGTTCAGAAATTTATCTTGCTAACTTCTTTTTTCCATTCCTGCAAGTGTTATCCTAGGATTCATAAATGAGAAACAAACCAGTTTATATGGTAGCTGTAAAGAAGAAGGAAGAAAATATCTAGGTCGATCTCTGTTGACATGTGTTTATACGACACAGTTCAAAGCTTCAAAAAAATTCCATGGGAGATTTGACTATGTAAATATTTGTTAGTTGCCAGATTTGAAAATGAGGAAAATGTAACAGGTCAAATCCTGAAGAATTAACATAGTTCTTTTAAGTGAGCTCCAAATGGGAAAACTTCAACTTGACCATAAATGGTTTGGAATATCTTACTGTTTTAAATCTCCTTTTCTGTCCTGTGTGCTGCTTTCCACAAATCCTAAAAATGTTACTTAAAAATCCACATTTCCACTGGAATGATTTTTACTGAATTACATTAAGTTTTTGAGGGAGGGAAAAAACCCCCAAACCTACACTAGTTTTGTGATGAAGCTGCAATTAGCATAAAGCTGTAGTCTTTCTTCAAAGTAAGCTAAGGCTTTCAGCTGCATAAAGCATATTCTGATATTCTTTATAATGCAGAGACAGGATGGTCTAAGGTGAGAAAAAGGAAAATCAGTTACAGTGAAAATATAAGTAAATCAACTAGTCCAGGGCTGTCCTATTTTTGCATTTTTTTTATCAGCAGTCTTGTTAGAAACAAAATTTCAAATATTTTTAGCAGTTAAGTCCTCACCAGAGTATGTAAAGGTTTTACAATCTGATCTCATTTGTTAAAATACAAAATACAAAATCAGTTTCTCAAAATCTTTCTCAGTATGGTATGCTTGAAAATTGTTTTTGTAGCCTTAGCTTACACAAAGACTACAAAACTAAAGGTTTTAGTTCAGATGTGCACTTCTGAAATACGTGTTTATTATTTTTTTAATCCATTGCCCACATTAAGTGAAATAATCTGTGGTTTTGATTTAGATTTATTTTATAAAAGTGTAGGAGTAATTTTGTAAGCTTGGAAATTATTAGATTTAGAAAAAAAATAGTATGATTGTATACTTTATACAGGGGAAAAAATTAAGAAATTGCCATTTTCTTTCGGTTCCTAGGTCATGCAGTTTTCTTAGGTATTTGAGACTGCTATTTATCTTCTAGAATTTCTTCATGTTGCATAAGAATTATGGTAATTTTTGGATGCTATTTTAAAAACAATTTGCAGAGGTGTCTTACCTGCTGAGAGACTATTCATCAGTTTAGAAGAGGGTGTTAATTTTATACCTGATCCCCAACACCCAGCAGCACATGGCACAGCTGCCCTGTCACCGGTGGCAGGGTTACTCATAAGCACAGCCTCCTACCTTATTTCTGTTAAGTACCATTTACTTGCACAAGAAGTTCCCCTCTAAATTATTCATGTGAGGAATTAAATGCCACTCATCTTGATTAAGGTGCGCACAGTGACAACAGTAAAGACAAGACATTCATGGCTGGATAGGGATAATGCTAACCAAACAGGTAGGTATAATGCTGATTATTTTGCTGGTTAAATAAAGAAGAGGTGTGTGTATGTAGAGAAACCACACCACATGCATGCCACTTTGTAGGTTTCTGAGTTGCTAGCTCTTGCTTCCTCGAACTTCCATATCTAATACTGTATCTGGGACAGCTTTTTTTTTTTCCTGCTGATCCGAATAGGGCTGGGGAAAGGAGACTGACTGTGGCATCTGACATGGCCTCGGTAAAGCTTTCCTGGCTGTAACACTTGGAATGGTATTTCACAAGAACCAGCTATGACCTGGATTCAAACCCCATGGAAGCTAGATCCTTTGCCTACCCTTCACCCTGTCTCAGTTTATGCATATCTAAAACTGGATGGTGGACTACTGAAGTGTGACACAGTTCTTCCCATTAACTTTAATAGGTTTTGGATCCAGTCTGATGAGGTTTTAATGAACACTTTAAACTTTGTGGTTGCCAAAAATAGATTATGGATTGCAAAAGCAACTCCCCCCTCAGTTTTCATTGCCATTTACTTGTCAGTTCAAGACGACTATCTCTGTGAGTAAGGTAGTGCTCACCACAAAGAGGGAGGTCAGAAGGCATCCTTTCTTTCTAAAGAAAGAAAACAGAAAAATGAGATTATAATGTCACAATCTCAGGATAAAGAATTCAGCAAAACCTGGGAATATTGCTTAAATGAAGAACAATGACTTGAAATTCTTACTGAAATTTTTCTTGATGTTTCAGAAACATCTACTAAAAATGCTGATGCACAGCAGATACCTAATAACAGCAACAGGTATTTAGATTTAATGTGAATATCTCTTTTTGAAAACAGGTGGTGCTTCTGTCATGACAGCTTCTGGGTCTTTGAAAGTGCATAGAGGGCACAGTCTCCAAGCTGGTAAGTTTAAGTGGTTATGAGGTATGTGTGTACATGTAAATTTAAACTAATTTAAACTTAGATTATTTTAAACTTCAGAAAATGTTAAAGGTAATTTATGACTTGATTCCCTATTGTAAGACTTACGTATTTCTTTGGGTTTTTTGCTTTGCAGGGTTTTTGTTAGAAAGGCATTGACAGATGGGATAACTTTAGAAGAGGCAGTGACGGATGAGATAAGTGTCGGAGCATAGGCAGTAATCTTATTCGCAGCACTAAAATGCTGCCAGCACTTTAACAAAGGACACCCATAAAAAAACCCCCTCACCTCAGGCCATGAGAAATCCTGTACCCTAACAATGATGTGGTGGGGAAAAAAAAAAACCACCACATTTAAAGATACTTCTTCATGATAATGGAGAAAAAAACACTATCAGATAAAATTATGAGTGTTTGTCATCCCAAAACTAATCCCAATATGTTCATTCTATGGACATAGCATTTTTGCTTGTCTTGTTTTAACTGGAGTGGAATCTGAGATCATGAGGGAACCTGGGCATCTTTTTTCATCTTAGTGCTCTGGAAGGACCGATGATGTTGTGCAACCTGGCTTCTTGCAAAGAAGATGATTTGCACTTGGAAAGCAAAGTTATCTTTGGAAGGGCTAGTTTAAGCATTTTCTACAGAGCTTTGTCAGAAATCAAGAAGTTATCCATCATGCTGGAGGTGGAATTTTAACAAGAGTCTTCCAGATGCTCCCGAGATCACCCACGCACTTCTCCCTGATTCATGCATTCAAGACAGCTTTGCTCCCACATCGATGTACAGCGAAACACAGTGTTGACTTAAGTGGCCTTCAGTGTGAATACTTGTAAAAATGTCCTAACATTATTTCCTTGGTGTTACATTCATAATAAAATGCTGTCATCACCACTACAGAAAAGTCAACACTAGCCACTGTTTATACTTTCTGAGATTATTCAGTATGATTATTCTGATTAGAAGGTTACAAGTCAAAAACAGAAAATCATATGCTTTATTTACATTGTGGAAATTCCTAAATCCAAAGCCATTGACGGTGTTCCAATATTCTAGGTCCTAAAGGTGGTTATGAGATGCTAACACTTCCTGTAGAACCTGGAACTCCTACTAGCCCTGAGGAACCTGGTGAGTACAGATCTTTGCAGCCAATTGCATCAGAGCACACTAACAACTCCTGTTTCTTTTTCCTTTTCCTTTTTTCTTGTGATTTCTTCTAAATGTTTATTTTTGAAGTGTTACCCTTTGAACATGTCAGCTTTACCTGTGTGCTTACACACGCACACACACATTTATCTTGGGGCTGTGTTTATGGTGTTGGTTTTCTTTCTGTGTTGTTTATCGCATGTTTCTGAGAATGGTGCCTACATAGGGTAGAAAATATGAATAACTAACACTTGATGAAAGAAAGGCTAAAACACCAGTTTCAAATACAATTTTCTTCTTCCCTCCCCAATTTTACTATCTTCTCCTTTCTTTTCCCCTCATTTCAATGCCACTGCATTTTCTGTTTTATTCTTCTCCTGGTACTTGCTTAACTATCTTTTTTCCTTCCTAATTTTCCCCCCTTTCTCGTCAAGCAATCATGATATTGTACCAATTCTTTCAGAATGTTATAGCCATGCATTTTGGTCTGTTTTTTTCTCAAATTCTTCCATAATGATCTCAAATGCTGGTCTTAAGTCCTGTCGTAAGCATCTTCTACCTCTGTCCACCCAGAATGGACTGCTGAAAGCGTTGTCTTTGTCCATGGCTCTCTGTGCATGCCTTGATTTCTGAGTAGGAGCTTTTGACTGTATTGTGCTTTTCAAATAAACCTTTCTCTTCAAAGAAATATAGCCAGTTTTTAGTGTCTAATGAGTTAGCTTTTTTTGTTATTTAAAGGAAAAATGAAAAGCCAAGTATTTCTACGTTTACAAAGAAAGCACAGTTTCTATTAAGATAGCACTGACTAAACAACAGAAGACTTTCCCCTTCCTTCCATTCCAGTTTGCCCCTTTGTTCTTGATTTGTTTTTTATCTTTAAGAAGAATATTTGACTGTTGCCAGGGGTTTCTTTGTTCTGTGTGTTTCTTTTGCTTTTCTTGCACAAAGCCCTACCAATTAATATATTATTCTCCATGTGTGTTTTTTTAGTTCTCAGGGAAATCACTTGGCTTGTCTGCATCAGGTTTATTCAGCTTCCTGAAACCTTTGAACTATTTAGCTCTATAGAGAAGTTTGCTAGTTTTCACGCTAGCTAGCTTTGAGGACACTTCACTTAAACTCCTGCTACATCACTTTAACAGCATATAGAAAGACTTCAAAAATTATCTTTTCCTTCATGACTGTTCATGACTCTGTGTCAGTCCTTAAGATTGTCATTCGCTTCCAACTTTAACTATTTGGGATGCAGGTTTTCAATGCTATGGTTCTGCTGAATTCCTTTTGGCACAGTCAGGCCAAATTCCTTTGAAATACTTCAGACAGAACAACTGAGAGTAATTTCTGAGAATTATGTTTGATGAAGATGTAGAAATTTCTTCTGTTTGGTGTGTGTGTTTTTTTTTTTTTTTTCATTTTGTTCCTAACACCTGGCTTTGGAACAACAACTTGAAGTCTGACCATCAGAAAAATGTTTGGTTACTTTGTGGATATTGCTATCTTTTCTTTATGAAAATCTGTCAGAAAATTCACGAACTTTCCAGGCTTTTAAAATTTTGGACTGCATAGTAGACTCCTTCAATTGAAATAGCTTAAGACTGGAGAGATTGTATTATCCTGGAACCTGTTGCTGCCTCTGACAACTCTTACTGCTGCCCAACCTTGTATGAGCTGTCTGCTATTCATAATCCAGTCCAAGAGGAAGAAACAGTTCCCCTTAATGGTTATTCACAGCTGCTGTTGGTTGGGTATAAGAAGTCATTCTCTCCCATGCTCTAAAAAGCCTTGATCACCTACTGCCTCTCCATTCACATCTCAGCAGTGTCTGAATGGGCAGAAAAGAAAAGCAGTGATTTGAACAAATGAAGTTTTGATATGAGTTTTATGTGGGGACAAGGAAGGACTTAATGGGAG